TTTAAAACCTTTCCACTTTGATACAGCACTTTTGCAGTATTTTAATATGTCTTAGTAGATTTCAAGTGGCTGAAACATTTTAATAACCACAATTTAAGAGGAATAAAATAGTACCGTAGGAGGAAGAAACAATGCCCCCATTTGTCACTCATGAAGACTTGTATTTTAAATCAGCTGGGGTAATAAGAGCAATGAGTTTGGTGGTCTCAACCTAAGCCCCATTAGGCAATTAGCCAGTCTGCAAAAATCATGACATAATTTGGCACAGTTAAGCAGAATATTATACTTTTGTCTATGACCACTGAAAGAGATCCAGGCCTGAAATAGGAAGGCTACTGCAGGTCAGCATTCAGGTGTATTGGCTCAACAAACTGGCATTTTGTGTAGTGCCCTTCTGTGCTGCATTTAGCTCCAGTAAAATCTATTAATCTTCTTTGAAAATTGAGCTACAAAACATATGGTTTTGTGTACAGCAAGAGACACTTCACATTATGACCAGTAACTCTACTGTGAATCTGCTTTGCAGCAATAGGGGTGACTTAATGTTATTGCAATTTGAAGGAAAGCATCCTGCAGTCTTCTCTCAGGCCAAATTCCCATTTACTTCAATTAGTAAGCATTACAGGAACTGTTTTAATGCTGCTGCCTGACATGTTGGCTGCTTCTTCTAATATATTACAGTGAAAAAAAGATGGTAAGCCAAATGTATGAATGGTATACTTCCATTATGTGAATGGAATTTCATCAAGGCCAAAGCTGGCCCATTTTGTTGTGTTTCTTTCCAAGGTACCACTCTAAGGTGTTCCACTCTAAAAACAAACTGCAACTTCACTTTGCAGCAGCAAAATAAATTGTTTTCCTTCTTCCTTAAAGATGGAGAATGTAAAGCTATCTGAACCTGCTGGAAGTATTAATCACCTGGAAGCTTTCACTGGCTTGCGTTGCTTAAGGCAGAGCTGAGGTGCCATCATTCTGATTTGGGTCAAGATAACCATCTTCTCTGAGAGACAAGACAAATTTCATAGGCAACCTTATGAATCCTTGTATAGCGACGGGAAATAACACTGATTTCAATAAACAATTCTAAATTTGTATGATATCAAGTGATGCCCAAATTAGCAGGTACTGCTTCTGCTGCATTAGCTACATGGATATTTGTAGTTCATTCTGCACTATGCTGTCTAGACCAAGCATTGTATCTGCAAATGTTTTTCAACTGTGCAGCTCTCAGAAGATCTTTAATGATTTGGAGGGTATCACCTGCAAAGAAATCTTCACTGGTCAGCTAGCATTGGTCTTGCACATCTGTGGAAAGACAGGGAAGCAACTGTGAAGGAAATGCAGATTTTATCCTGCTCTGGAAGACAAAGACCTGTAGAACACTCCTTAATTCAGTCATTCTTCTCTCAAAATTCACTGAGCCATAACAGAACACAGGACAGAAATAAACACAGGCAGAGGACTATGCTTTCAGGTTCTTTCCAGATTTTATGTAGGGTCTACATTCACAAGATGGAAAAAAGGAGGAAGATTCAAGTCCTCTATTCTTAATGGATGAGAGAGAAACAATGGAAGTGGAGTTGTCAAACTGTAGCTGAACTAGTGAAGCCCAGAGGATGCCAAGAGTTCCCCAGGATTCACTAGAACGCAAAGTCTGTTTGCTTTACTAGCAGCATTTCTGCCTGTTAACAAGTTAGACTGAAAGGACACCGTATCTACTTTATTATACACTCTGCCAAGCACTAATTGCCCATGCCATGGTTCTGGTACGCTTAAAATAATTTTCCATAAGCCTTTTTGGAAACAGGCACAAAAAGGAAACCAACAATGAAATACAAAGCATATCACAGGGAGAAATAATATGAAATATGACCCCGGGTTCTTTCTAATACCAGTTTATTTTAAAAATTGCTACTGATGCTTAATTGCACTGCTCTTTTACAACATTTAAAAGTAATAGTTAAAAATATAAGAAAATAAAAAGCAGGACTTTCAAGTCCTTTACAGGTGCTCATGTATATGAAGGCTAGTAAAATATGCTTGTGTGTAAAAACATTGCTGTGGTAAATGTATTTTTACAAAAAGCTTACATATAAAGCAGGCTGTGTTAAGGCGGTAGAAGGGAAGGAACTACTCGTACAGACGTACTCTGCTGTTAGTGAAATATGTTAATTCAAATAGCTGGCCTTATTCTGTATATGATTGTGGAAATTAGGTATTTTTTCATGTTGCATATGCACATAATATGGGGACTGACAGAGTGTATCATGCAGAGGTGTCTGAAGACAGAGGTGCATACGTACACACTTGTGTGTTAGAGGATGCTGAAAACTTCAGCGTGGGTTAGGTGGGCCTGTGACAAGCATCGATCAGTGGTTTTGTTGGCACTGAGTGCATATTTTCGAAGACATACTGTTTTGTAAGAGTATTAATTTTGGATGTATGTGCACCTCGTAACCAGTTATGTTTTGGGGATGATGGGATCATGTGTTCATGCAGTATCAAGAAAAGTATTAAAACCAGGTAAGAAACTTTCAGTAAACTATATAAACTATATAAACCTGTCATGTTGACATTCTTTACCTCTTCAACAGCTAGGGTATGTCTATATACATGCAGCGTGAGGTAGTGGTATTATGAGAAGCAACGTAACTGTCTTCAAGCAACATTTGGCCATGCTGATTAATCCTGCTGATAAGCAAGACAAAATTAATACAGGCAACACATGGAATAAGTCATTGTCACACCTGAACTAGATCATCAGAGATCTAACTTGTGAATTTTTATTCAGAACTGCCCTGTCAAGTGTAGGCATGCTGTCAAGTTATCCTTATCTGGACATTGGCTAGTTACAGAGGAGTCTCTTTGAGGGAGGTTGTACTTTTGCTAGAAAGCATATAGGGCCACACATACCCTAGAACATTGTAAGTTTATATTGGCTGTCCTCTCTCCTTACTCCTTTGCTAATACAGAGGTAAGACTAAGATATTTTCCCTCTAGATCAGACATACAGTTTCTTATAATGTGGTACTTGTGGGTGGTTTGTAAGTGATGGATATGCAAATTGTATGTAGGATCACATTTATGTAAGCCAGCACACACGTAGAGTTCAGCTTTTATATCTGCACACGCATATACAAGAACATTGCTTGGCACCAAGTGCTTTCAAGGGAAGGTGTTTATATTGCGTACTGAATTGCTTGCTATGTGTCATGCAGGTATTGCAGGTGTAATTAATGTCAGTTAGCGCTGCTCTCCGTTTGTATTGTGTTCATTGAAGTTTCTGTGAATTATTGGGTGGGATGGCTAAATCAGTCAGTTTCTGTGTTCTATATTGGTTTGCGAGTCTGTTTCAGTTACCGAGATACTGTGCTGAGGAAAGCTGGTATCTCACACCACACACGCTGCTGAAATCACACTGTGCAGTTTATACCTCCTTACGTTATCGCTGTGCAAGCCAGGGCTGAGTGAGTGTGTGTGTCACTGTTATGCCGGCGGGGCAGCGTGTGATGGCTGCAACGGGAATGAAGGAAGTTGTGCAAAAGACATTGCTCAGTGTCAGCGCAGGCCTCGTCAGAGGAGGGGCAGGACCTCCGGGGAATGAACCCCCTCAGCGCTAGCACGGAGGCACGCAGCCCTCACCTCTCTCTCTCACCTCTGGCGCACTCATGACTGGATGAGGCTCCTGCCACGACAGAGGTGGGGGCAGCCCCACGCCCCCCCTTCGGCTGGATGAGGCTCCTCTCACGTCAGAAGCGAGGGGAGCTCCCACAGGCACGCTGACGCTCCTGTCACGACAGGCGCCGGGGCAGCTCCGCGCCAACCCTCCCCCCCCCAGCGCCGAGACGCCTATCGCGACAGCGCGCGCTCCAGGAGGCGGGCAGCTCCCCTCAGCCGGCGCGCGCTGCCGCCAGGGCAGCCCCGCTCCCCCCTCAGCCACCACCAGGCGCGGGTTGAGGCCGGGACAGAGGGCGGCCGCGGCGGTTCACGCCGGGGGGGGGGGGGGGGGGGGGGGGGAAGCGGACACCCCACCTGCGGGGCCTCTCCCACTGCGGAGCGGAAGCGCTCCCGCCGCCGCATGAGGCCTGCATCACCCGCCTCCGCCTCC